ATTTTTCCCCACCCCTAGTAGATAGTTTGAAAAACTGCACATGTTGCCTCATGGACACATGCCTTTCCTAACAAGTCAACCTGCAGATGAGATCCAGATCTACAGTAAGTAGGTAAACTTTTAGTAAAATGTATTTCTACTTTCTACTCTACTTCACTACTTGATACCACTAGAGTGCTTTGTATTTTCCTCAACACCAACCAACAACCAAAAACACAGTACTATGAATAATCAACATCAATTTGGAAATGCAAGAGAAAGAGAACTATGAGCATCATAACAATGAAATAGTTTATATATCGTAATAACTTAAGCAGGATATTTCTTAATGAAAGCAAGTAACCACAGCAGGCGTTGATAAAGCTGAACTGGTATTAAGAGAAGAAAACAGGGTCTAAAATGTGTTTCTTCATTCAACTATAATACAAGATTTGGAAAAATCCGAAACACTGATAGAAGAAACTTGATCAATAGAAAGTCCAAACATACAAGTGGCCAAGACTGTGAAAAGGTTTTTGGCTTTTTTCTAATACAGTCATGATTTTATTCTTTGAGATTTGTTTTTTTATTGTTTATTGTTATTTTTTCTTGAATATTACACTACTACCTCATTTTTTCTCCCTACAATGACCCTGATTGCTGTTGTAGCTATCAGCACAAAGACATAATACTACGCTTTGTATCAACATTTATTCATATAAAGCAGCATGAAAGCCTCAAAGTAACACATGAACTTTCGTTATTTGTCATGGTCCTGGGTCTGTGACCCAGCGTTCTGAGTTAGTGGATTTTCTAGATTTTTTTCTTATGAATTCTACGCTTGGTTAATTTCATTATTGTTTCTTGTAGCCATTCCCTTGGCATATTTAGTCTTCTTCTGTTATACATTGTGTAAGAGCAAGTCCTTCCTTAGTGTTTCCCATCCTCTTGTGTCTAGTTTTCTGTGTTAATTATAAGTGTCTCCCTGTGCAGTTAGTCTTGTCTCCATGTTTATTTGCCTCTGTTACCCCAGTCATGTCCCTGTGTGTCTATCTGGGTCCTCTCACCCTCTGTACGCAGTCAGTCTGTGTGCGTCTCTCGTGCTTCCTGTCTTATTTTGTCAGTCCTTCGTCCTGGGTGCATTATGTTCTGTTCTGCTTCCCGTCTCATCAGTCGGACTATGTTCGGCTGTGTTCCCCAGGTGTTTCCGCTCTGCTCTGTTTCCTCCTTCCTTGTATATATTGTGTCTCCTCATGTCTGTTCCAAGGGAGACGAGCTGAAATGCTCGACATTTCCACCTCAATGCCGCTGTGTGGCTCGCTGAAAGTTTCGAGTCGGGGGCAGTCGGAGCAAGAAGATACTAAGCTCCCGTGGTCGCTGCTCTTCTTTTGCAGAGCATTTCCCTGTGAGTGAGAAAGACCTTTCCCCTCGTGTTCACGGTAAGTCAAAAACTGTTGTTTGCTATGCAAAGGACCTGATGACTGTTCAGTGTACCACTAGCCCATCAAAATCTAAGTTTCTTTTGCTTCAAAAGCGACCAACATTAAAAGTGTGCATCATGTAGCTGAGCCACTCAAGTCTGCAAAGAGGCTGGGCTAGCGACTCGAAAGTCACTTCACAGTTTACTTCCCTGAATTATCCTCTTTGAAGACTGTTTACTGTCAATGTGTGCTGGACTATCAAAAGACTGTTTTTGCTCCCCAACCTGCATCAATAAATTCATAAATACAAAGACTGTTGTGCTTTTGAAACTGGTTGAGTTTTTCCACCTGTGACTTGGGCCCTGTTCCAGTTCCCCCAGCGGGTTGGACATAGCTCTCTCCCACACCCATACCTGTTCCTCGGGTGGGAGTGGCTGGTGTCCAGTTGGCCCCTGCAGCGGTCCCGGTTCCCAGGCTAAAGCCAGCTGGGACCCAGTTCACCTCTGGACTATCTCTACTTTCAAGATTAGGCTTCAAACTTTCCTTTTTGCTAAAGCATATAGTTAGGGCTGGACCAGGTGACCCTGAATCCTCCCTTAGTTATGCTGCAATAGATGTAGGCTGCCGGGGGATTCCCATGATGCATTGAGTTTTTCCTTTCCAGTCACCTTTCTCACTCACTATGTGTTAACAGACCTCTCTGCATTGAATCATATCTGTTATTAATCTCTGTCTCTCTTCCACAGCATGTCTTTATCCTGTCTTCCTTCTCTCACCCCAACCAATCACAGCAGATGGCCCCGCCCCTCCCTGAGCCTGGTTCTGCTGGAGGTTTCTTCCTGTTAAAAGGGAGTTTTTCCTTCCCACTGTCGCCAAAGTGCTTGCTCATAGGGGGTCAAATGATTGTTGGGTTTTTCTCTGTATCTATGAAGCGCCTTGAGGCGACTTTTGTTGTGATTTGGCGCTATATAAATAAAATTGAATTGAATTGGACCTGTACCAGTTCCTCAGGTGGAAGCAGCTGATGTCCGGTGGGTCCCTGCACCAGTTTCCAGGGCGAGGGCAGCTGAGACCCAGTCCACTTCTGCACCTGTTCCATAGGTGGGGATGACTGGTGTTCGGCCAGTCCAGGAACCCATATGTTTTTCCAGAATGAGAATGGTAGCTTATCCAGAGCCTGCTGTGTGCCCTGTGCAGGCCCAGCCAGAGGTCTCTGCACCGTCTGCCTTGTCCTACCAAGAGGTGCCCGCGCCGTGTGGACCTAATTCATCTGTGCCACAGCATGTTTTGTCCCAGCCAGAGGTCTGTGCTCCGCCACTTGGTCCTGTTCTGCCCAAGCCCAAGGTTCTCCATCGCGTCTGTTGACAACCTCCAACCAAGCTGCCTGAGGAGTCCCGTCGCCTCTGGCAGTTCCCAGTGAAGCGCCGCTCGTCCCGTGGCCGGTGACCAGAACTGCTAGTTGTTTGTTTTTGGACTCACCTGCTGCTTAGGTTTAGACTTGGTCCAGGCTCTGTGACCCAGTTAGTGGATTGTCTAGTTTTGTTTAGTATATAAATGAATACACGCTTTTTAAAACAGATTTATTGGAACAGATTTTACTCAGTGCACAGTGGTTTGCTGATGGACTCATACAACAATGACAAGATAAGGTCACGCAGTTACTGCTCACTGTTGGTTTATTACTGTGGGAATGGTGGCCCTTAGCCAATTACTGAACCTGATAACGAATAAAAGATCCAAATTTCTGCAGTATTGCCGACATATCCTTGCTACTGTCTATAAAATGCATGCAGCGGGTTGTCCATCAATCTACAATTGTCTTATGAATTTCTTCGCAAAAAAAAAAACAACCCTGCTGGTAGTGAGGTTAAAGATAAAGATGGAGATGAGGAAGATAATGGGAGGGGCTGCGTTTTCTGTAAATGTTAATTGTTTGTGTGAAGGTCAGCCAAGTTAATAAAATTGACCACAGCGACTTTTCCACCTCTTTTTCTCAGAGGAGAAGAGAGGAAGATGTGCCCTTTTCCAGTTCCTCACAAAGCTTCCTTCCTCATTAGCTCCCCAAATTTATTCAGCAGGAGCAGACTGGCGCAGGATCACGTGGCCAGATGGAAGCCTAGACAGGGAAAACAGAGAGCAGACACAGCTACTGGGCCACAGGCCTGGCTGACCATGCTATAGACCTCAGCAGTCATCACAGACAACACAGCCAGAGTCTACTTCCCACTAATGATGACATCTCTGTCCTTCCCTCAGGGAATTCAGCAATAAAAAAAGTGAGCTATAATGCAAGCCATGCAGTCCTGTTTGGGATGAAGCCATTAAATCAAATGTTTCTTGCTTTTGCCAAAGCCCCAATTAAGGTCTGCAGCAAGCAATGGTGCTTTTATAATGAAGGCTTTTGATCATGTCAACAGGAACATAAATATTTTTTTAGGATATGAAAAAAACAAAAAAACAGAGCAACAACAACAAAATATTGGTGCAATTGTAATTTTAAGGATCATGCTGAAGTTAATAATGACTGGGAAAACTTCGGATCATGCTAAAGTGTTCCGAGGAGTTCTATCCAAATATGTTTAGTAATGCAGCCGTTTAGACCGCTTAGGTACAGCTGGGATGCTATTACTATCCAAAATTTATGATCCATGTTTCACTGAACCAAATGGGCTTTTTCTGCATGCAATAAAATTCCAAAAATCTAAAAACTATCTACACTCTCCTGGTAGATAAACTCAGAACA